TCAGTGGTGGTCTCGACTACGGTGTCCACTGGGCCCCTAGACTCCCTTGGAGCTGATCTTTCTCCAGGCAGGTAAACTCAGGTACCATGGAGATCTGTCTTGAAACAGAAGCAAAACTGAGTACTTAGCTAAAGACAAAGAGGTGGTGAGTATATGTCATACTTTGTAGACAGTCGATGTTTTAAAAACATTTTAATAAAAATGATTTTAATCATTTTAATTAAAAAAAACAAAAACACAAAAACCCTGGTCTGGGTTGCCGGACTTCAGCTTCAGCAAGCCCATTGTCCCTACTTGGTGCAGTTCTCTCCTTGTCCACTAGATGGCAGGAGCTCCCCATGTCTACACCAGCGGTTCTCAAAGTGTGGTCCTAGACCTGCACAGACAGCATCAGACTCATCTGGGAATTCATCCAAAATGCAAATTCTCAAGGCCCTACCCTAAATCTACCGAATCAGAAACTCGGAGGGTGAGCTAAGTAATCTGTTTTAACTAGTTCCCCAGGTGATTCTGATGCAAGCTGAAATTTGGTCCATATCAGAACATCAGTAAGGCTGTCAACACAAAAAGAAAACTATACTATACTTAGACCCAGTGGGCTCTCAAACACCTGATGAATTAATGAAATGAGCCATGGAAGACTAATGAAGACTGATCTGGCTGCAGAGGAATGCTTCAGTCACAACCGTGGCCTCCATGCTCAACTGGCAAAGATAGGAAGCCAAATCTTTCTCCTCCTTGTTAGCACTGAGCACTGTTAAAGCCTCCCACCACTCTGCAATTTATCTACTTAATGAAACCAACTTTAGAGGTGTGGAGTAGGCAAAAGGCTCCTGCCAGAAACACTAAAAAAGAAGGCTTTCTGATGATCTGATAGTCTGAGATTTGCTTTAAAATTTATACCCCAGGAAGCAGGGAGGGAGGTATAGGCAAAAACAGAATTGGCCATGAGGTGACAGCTGTTGAACCTGAATATTCCTTCTTACGTTCTATTTTTGCACATGGTTATAATTTTCCACATTGATACTTTATAAAACTAGAAAAAATAACGTAAAGTCTTTTAAAAACCAGCCACATTTTAAAAATAAAAACAGGCTAGAATATTTCTTAGCTATTAAAAGAATAGATTTAAATTATCAGTGTCATGTAAGGGGAGGAAATCAGAAAATGAACCAGAGAAGACCATGTCGGCAACATTAAATTGTCATTAAACAGGCAGGCAAAGTAGCAAGCAGAAAGACTATCAGTGAAGAAAGCAGGTCGGAAGTAATGATTTGCTTACTTCCCTGGAAGTCTAAAAGAAAAACATTGTACACTGTCAGCTTCAAACAAGATCAGAAAATTAGAAATGAGGATCAAGCTTTGAAGAAAACGTGGCAATTGCAAGACTAATTTCATTAAATGTGAACAAGATGTCATAACAAATATATGAATGATGAAGTTAAGGTTGAAAGAATCAACTAAATAAATAAAGATAGCACAGAGGGGGGAAAGTACATTTGTGAATACTATGAATAGAAGAGCTAAAATGTAAATGCAAAAGCAAAATAAGGAAAATTATGCTATAAATGGGAAAAAAACTAATTCATTTGAATAACTCATACAGGGAAAGAAAAGGAATCATCAAACATTCAGGACATATTGAAAAAGTAATGATCCATTTCTTAAAAGGAAAAAAAATAAAGCAAACATTTCATATCAAACTCTTAAATATCAAGGAGCACGTCTCAACCAGATCATGAAAGGCAGACCTATGCCTTTTTCTTCACCATCAGTCCCTGGTGGCTTTTTTGGAAAGCAAAGGATCCATATGTAAATTGGTCCACAAATTACTTCTATCAAGTTTGGTAGTGTTAAACTGCAGCTTTTAAATTTTGAAATAATTCAGTGATCAATCCAGAATGACAATTACGTACCTTCAATTTTATTTACTGAAAGATCCAGCTTGTGTAGGTGAATGTATCCACAGAGAATGCTAATGTCAGCTAAATCACAATCCTGAGAGGAAAAAAGGTGAAAGACTTTAAAATTACTTTAACCCGTTAGCATTCAGTCTTCTGGAAAGAATAGTTGATGGAAAGAAACCCAGAATTTCTTCCATAATACAGAAGTGAGAGAACAAAATCTGAAGCCTACTACTAATACGATCTCAAAACAGACTACAGATCCCCATCAAAAAAAAATTGCATTCCTTTGAACAAAATAATAGCTTAGAAAATTAGTGTTGTTAGCAAGAACAAATACAACATGAAAAGGCCAATTAAAGCAGTGTTCATGGAGACTGTTAGAGCAGTTTTATTTTTTAAAAAAATCAAATAATACCAATAAAGACAGGGCCTTTATCTAGTAGAAGAAAAGAGAAAGCAAATGCTTAGAATTTAAATGAAGTTTTAAAGAGAGTTCACACCTGATCAGGAGATCATTAATAACAATACTATCTACACTTTTCCCAGCGTTGATTTCCAAAGCTCTTTCACAGTAATCTCATCCGATCAAACACACCTGTGATATCTGTGGGGCAGAGGATTCCTAATCTAGAAATGAAAAGTATGTCACATTGCAAGTTAGAATTGCCTGATAGAGAAGCAGCATCCAAGTCTCCTGAGTCCTTATCCAAAATTCTTTCCATGAATTATTGCTTCGAGTCAACTTCAAGGGAGGTGAGGAGGAAATTGGGTCCCATCAGACAAAGACATATTCTACTGATTTATGTCATGATGTCAGAGTTAGAAAAAAGCCAACCAATGGAGAACCATTTTAAGCAAGTTCTCATATAGAATAATGACTGTTTAATGAAGGCTGCTATAACAGTAAATAAAAACTTACTGAGTATCTACCAGGTTTGGGCCTCATGCTTGGCATGATGAGAAATACAATGATGGAAGAGAGCTATGCTGTGCCCTTAAGAAATTTATGACTTTCGTAGGAGAGAAGACACATACACAAATGATAAAAGAAAGTAAAAAATAATGTGTAACATAAGTAAGATATAAAGGGGGGGAAAGAACTAAATCAGGCAATTCTAAAAAAGTGTATTCAGTACGACAGGTTATTAAGGCAAAGTAATTCAACCTGCAATATCTCAAGCGTAAGGAGGTCGGTTGGCAAAATAAGTTAAGCTTCAGTCCATCTAGCAGAAACAAGATTTAAAGGATTGCTTTGGGGGTAGATCAATTTAAGGCATAGCACTACGTACATAAGTAGAATATTGATTGACAGGGACGTGTGTGGGGATGCATTGGCTGCTGGAATTATATACCATTCCAATGTCGAACATGGTGCAGTACACACAGGATGCTCCCTGTCTGTTATTGCCTGGCTGGCTGAGTCCTCCATAAAATGTTATAAAGTGAAAATAGTAAAAGATTTGAGTCTTAATATGTTGACCTCAAAGGGCATGCCATGGAACCAGCATAAGTGAAAGAGCTTAACATTTCTTGACTAGTTTACTAATTCAAACCTAAGATAGAACAGTCTTGCAATGAATTATATATATTAGCCAAATCATGGTGCTATAGTAAAATTTCAATGTGTCTTTTTTCCCACTTATGTATCTACATTTATTCCATGAATCTCCAAGGAATATTTAATGCCTTGCAATATAAGGAAGCCAAAAGAGTTAAATTATTTTTCTAGGACTACAGAGAAACAAAACAAGGAAAGATTACATACTTCAAGTAGTCTGCTCTTACAGCTTCTCTTATGATAAGATTTTGTTTTACTCTATGGCTAGTATTGAAATCTTGAAAATTGATGAATAATAGTTTTTTCTTTAATGATAGGTATCTTTTAGAAAATAAGATATAGCTGAAAGGTACTTCTTTCTTGACATACTTAGGGGGTTAAAGTCAATATCAAAATACACTGTTCCCTAGGATTCAGACATAAATTCAGTGCTGCTTCTACTGATCAGACAGAAAAGTCTTAAAGGGTCTTTGATTGGTTTTACAGAATCAAATTCAACCTTCTGGAAAGAAAGCATTGATTGCTGTAATATAGACTACTTAAGATGAAAGAGAGAGAGTATGAAGAGAATGAAAACAAAGGAGTCTGGGTGCTGATTACTGGATTGTCTAGGGCTCTTTGAAGTCTAATATTTACATAAATATCTCTTATCACTAGTCTCCATCAAATGCAAGACTCTGAGATTTGCTGCCACCACCAAAGCTACGAGTACAAAAGAAAATGAATATGGTTTAGTCCGTATCAAACCGTAGCTGGCCAAGGTGATTCTGTCACACTCACCGATAAAGTTAGATTGAGATAGACCTGCTTGGTCCCAGAGCCCGAGCGCCCCAGTTGGTAGAGTGCGGCAGCCACAGCGTCTTCTTTCAGTACCCCATCAAATTCCTTCTGCAAAACACCCAGAGAGGAGGACAAAGAAAGAGTTCCCATCAGAAAGGAAATGATCCATTTATCATATCTGGCACATCTTTAGGATACTTTACACCCAGGAGAGGTGTATACCCAGAGCTTAGCTCTCCAAAATTTACCATCCCCAAAGAAAATTCTGCGCTGAGGACATATACATATTACATACAGTTAAACAAATATCTACCAAATCAATGTGTTCATTGCCATTGAACTTAGGCAGTCAATGCCTCAGGCAGTCAAAGTTGAGCCAACACAGTAGCCAACACCCAAGCATCAGTGTTAGTGGTGAAGCCTCCATCCACTGAGTCTGTCTCATTCCAGGCACTACGCTAAGAGCTACCAATGGGTTCGCTCTTTTAATGCTTTTGATAACCCTGAGGTTCAGCTCCTTGAGTTCTTCTGACAAGCCCAAGGTAGGTATTCTTGTCCCTACTTTACAGATAAGAGTCCAACTTGTCTGAAACTAACAGAGCTGGAATGAAACCCTTAATCTGTCTGACCCAAGAGCAGTTCTCCTAACCACTACACTTGACTGCTTGCCCACACTCCAAAGGATGGTTATTTCCATTAAGGCAATTGCTTCTTTAAATCTGGCATTCTTGCTAAAGAAAACAGGACCTCAGTTTACTTCCTATTGGCTAGTTATGTTAAATTCATATCCAGTACTTAGAGTATTCACAGGATTTTTTAAAAGGGTGATTATCATTTCAATAAGGAAATTGGCCCTTGCACCACAGGCAGGCCTACCCGTCCTTCCTCAGTACTGACAGACCAGAAGAGGTAACAAGCAGATCACTGTTTGTGTTTCTTTCAGCTCCACGGTGGCCAACATATGAACACTGAGCATGAGGACATGACATACAGTAACACATCATCACTGACATAACCAACCAGGACTCTCACATGGACAACCAGGGCAAAATTCCCTCATTCCACATCCAACAATGCTGCTCGGGCTTGTGGCACCAAGGACATATGTATATAGATTTGTACTATAGTAAAGAGTTTCTTTCCCACCAAATTTCTGCTTACTTAGGGAAAAAAATACCATGTGCACAGAAATAGCTCATGGGTTTGGGAACTGGGCAGGTGTGGCTTGAACCCTAGCTCTGTAATTTTGGATGTGTGACTTTGAGGAGGCAACTTTTTCACTGAGCCTCACATTTTTCACCTATAAATAGAAACTGTTATTAGCTATGAAGGAGTTCAGGACCCGTCACCCCAAAATATGCCATTTTAGCCTATTAATTATTTTGAGCTGAAAGCACTTGAAAAACAGCAAATGCAAAGAGAGCTTACTCTGAACTCCCCTTATCTGCCTGAAGGCGGATCCTCCAGCAGGAACTCAATTGTCCTAAATCCCCTCCCCAGGAGTTTTATCAAACATAAGAAGATTGACCACAGGACAGGCTTCTAGAAGTCAGTAACATACTCAAAACTGCCTGTGTCCCATCTATTCATCTAAGGCAGTGGTTCTCAACCTTCCTAATGCTGCAATGTATTTTCATTGTTAAAAAGGGGTCACAACCCACAGAATGAGAACCGCTCAAGGATCCAGCCATCTTTCCTAAAAGGCATTTCCTCTCCCCTAAGGGACGCATTCCCTTCTCCCCTACATGCTCCCCCTCTCCTATTAAGATAGTATGTAAGTTCTCAAATCTCATTTTTTCTTGTTCCTGTAATGCTCCCATGTACATAATATTAAAAATTAATCCGTTTGCATACATTGTCTCCTGTTAATCTGCCCGTTATAAGTTTATTTTATAGACCCAGCTATCAAAGCTAGGAGGGTACAAGGAAAGTCTTTCCTCTTCTACACCTTCTTTGAATGTTTAGGGGAGCAAGAAAAAAAAATAATGGATATAAGATTCTTAGCACAGTGCCTGGAACATAGCAAATGTTCCAAATAAGTGACAGACGTTACTACCAACTGATGAAGTCAGAAATTCCATATCTGAAGCTTTCACTCATCTATACCAATCAATCTATTCACAGAATGAATCAAACACATTCACCTTTCTAAATAAGTTTTAATTATTCATGCAAGACCTGGGAAGGAATGGAAGTGGGGAACTGTTACTTTCCCTCTACAACTTTCCACCTAGACCTCAGAAGCTACCTGGCTCCCCCATTTCTTGGAGATAAGGCCTTACCTGCTTGCTTCTAGCAGATGGATGCCTATTTTTCAATGTAGCCACTGATATAGAGACAGGCCACACTGGTCAGTATTTTCCCAGATCCCCAAAGCAGGACCCTGTACAGCCACCCCTCACGCCTCCAGCTTGGCAGTAGCTGTCCCCTTCTTCATTGGTCATTTTTAAACATTCACAAATCCTGTCCTTATCTCAGGTGGCTTCAGAATCCCTTTGGAAGGCCACCCAACACCCAACTCCCAGCACATGTGCACACACATTTCCTTACCGCTCCGACTCCAGACACCTAAACTTGATTTCCAACTTCACACTCACGCACAGGGCCATGTTCGGAGCTTGTCATCATGCCAACCTGCTCCACCCCAGAAACCTCTGACCTAGCATTCCACTCTCTCTTCCCACAACTCCCTACCCTTCAACCTTTCCAGCACCTACTGAACTTGATTGTGATCATGACCAAATGTCCAGTTTGTTCACTTTTCCCTTTCTCAGAGTCTATCTGTTCCCTTCCTTACTGGGAAGCACATGTACAATTTCAATTTCTCTCTACCCTCAACACTCTTGACTCTGTGACCCCTAATTTGACTACACATATCCATACCCAAACCTCAATCAAGTTCACAGTCAACTACCACATCAAGGCAGAGATTATGTCATGTTCATGGTTCACCTGGGAGGAAAGTCTTTATAGAACGCCTACCACATGCCAGTCAGCGTGCTAGGCTCGGTGGAGAAGACCTAGGGAATAACCAGACAGACATGGTGCCTGTCTGTAAGGGACTTACTGTGCAGTCTGGGAGACAGAAAAGTACATACCACAAGCAATTTCAGGTGTTTGATAAATAAAAGGTAAGCAGGAGTCTCCTACTCTGAGACCCCTCTCCTGACTCCCACTCTTAGGGCTTATAGTTCCAATTATTTAATACATTGCTCCATCTTTCTGATTCCTATTGTAGAAAATAGCCTTAGTTTCTCCCCAGACCATGCCATAGGCCTCACAGTCATCCTAGACTTCTAATATTCAATTAATAACTGTCCCATCTTTTCAAATTGTATATAAAACCAGCACATTGTACTCCATGACTGCATTAACGTACACAGCTATGATTTACTAAAAAAAAAAAATATTAAATATTTTAAATATGTTTTCATCTTGAGCTTCCTTTCCATTCCTGCAGCCATTGCCTTAATCCAGACTCTCTCCCTCCCTCCTGGATACTGGTAGACTCTGCCCACTGACCTCCCTGACTGTGTCTTACTATCCTCTAATCTAATCTCACCTGAACAACAAAGCAATTCCCACTGCTGAGACTCAAGTCTGTGTCCCCACTCCATCTATATTCTGGCCTGTACCTAGGCTGCTGCCTCTGCTGTCATAACTGAGCAGTAGGAAAGGCTGGTGCCAGCCGCACACTGCCTCTCGGACCATAGTCTGCTTCCCCTGAAGTTCTCCCTGATCCCCACAGCTGAGCTATCATCTGCACTCACCTCTATATAGCATACTACAGAGGCCAAATTGCTATGATGGTCTCAGATTCTTATCTCACTTTGACTGCAGGGACCATGTAAGCCCTCAATCACATTCTCATCTTCTGTCATTACTGTTTGTTGTTACTATTTATCAATCTTTAATTTTTTTTTTTTTTTTTGCAGTTTTTGGCCAGGGCCGGGGTTGAACCCACCACCTCCCCTATATGGGGCCAGTGCCCTGCTCCTTGAGCCACAGGCACCACCCAATCTATAATTTTTTGAGAGTCGACTCTGAATCAGACAGTATATTAAGAATGGTAACATAGAGTTTATTAAATTTGATGTTCATAACCATAAGTAGGCATTATTACTCACTTTAGGTTACTGGAAAAAAAGGGGTTTTCATGCATCAGTTTGGGGGCCCAGATACTTCTACTGCATGTACCCAATCCAGAAACTGCCTCCTACATAGCAATCATTCAATGAATCTTTGTTCAATGAAGGCTAGATTAATTAAATCATTTAATGGGCTATAGTTAGCAGATAAAAACATGTAAGTTACTATTACATGTTTTGTTAGTAATAGTATCAAAAATAAATCAGCATTATGCTGGGCATTTTACATGAAAGATCTCATTTAATTCTCATATTATTATAATTTTCACATTACAGATGAAACACAGAGAGGTTAAATAACTTCCTCAAGATCTCGCAGCTAACAAAAGGCTAAACCAAACCTTAGGTATAAATCTCTGATTCCAAAGAGTGTTTTGAACAGCTGGTCTGTACTGCCACCCTTAAATTCATAAGGGCTTCTGAGGTTTGAGGTTAAGTGCATCACAAGCATTCAATAATCATCGTGACCACAATAACATTGCAAATCTTAACCAAGCTAAGACATACAAAACAAAGCATTGAACGTGAATGTCCAAATGTTTCTTTTTACAACTTAACTTTTCAGTTTATTCAGCATATTAAAGTGTATGCAATACTATGAAAGTCAGAATAGAATGTAAGAACACAAAATAAATACTAATATTTATCATGTAAATGGAAGACATAATGAAACTTTTCCCACACTCATATATAAGCCAAAAAGAATTACTTCAAGTCAACCCTTTCTATGGTTTGTTAATGGCATACTGAAGACAGATTAACAGTGGTACTAATGAACCCCATAGCTGAAGAGCTGTGTATTAATCACAATAATAAAGTATACTGGTGGCTCATTTGTGAATTCCTCTGGGTGGAAGCTGGTGGAAACCGTACAAACATTTCAAAGTTGCAAAAACACTGTTACAGTTTTGCAACAGTCACTGTTAAATGTAGCAAAGTAAAAGAACAAAAGAAGTACTACTAAGGAACAGAATAATAGTATTCTAACTTCTAGTAGTCTACCTTCTCATAGTGGCAGAAGTAATAGTTATCTGTGGTCAACTTTAAGCAAAACTAAAGTATAACTAGTTTTTATAGAAGGAAGCTAAAGAAGAGAAAAGACAAAATGGGGGATAAAGGTGTAAAAAAACAAATGCTGAATGTGAACAGGGGACATCATAAAAGAAGAGGAACCCAAGTGGGGGAAGAGTATAAATGGTTAATGGTAGAACCGAGTAACAGACAACTTGCAGGTTGAGGGGAGGGGGGTACAGGTTGAGAAGAGATAAGACAAAGGACAAAAGGAATCTGTGAAAGGGCACAGGCATAACACGGAGTATGTTTGACCTCACGGAGGAAAGGAGACTAGCAAAAGATGGAAAGATGCGAAGAAGAAAAATCAGAAGAGTTATCACAGAAAGAAGACATTGAAAATATTATATTCCTGTATATTACATCTACTTCTCAAAAGAATTTGAAGCAGTTTATAGTGTAAAGGAAAAGGAAAAATGAGAGAAAAACCTAATCTAAAGAAAACTATGGAAATGAAGAAAAATATTAGTTCTGAGTTTCCCGGAAGACAAAGAGAAAAACCTAACAGAATATGGCAAGAGTGAAAATCTAATGATGTTTTTGAAAGAAAGCCAATAATTTATTGGAAGCCAAGAGAAGGAAGGGATGTTATGAGAAGTTAAAAAAGACAAGAAGGTGATAATAAGTGTAAGAAAGAAGTTGGATGTATAGAAAAGAGGGAATTTGTCATAATGTGAAAGACCAAGTGACCGTCCCAGGCAATACAGGTGAAAATGCTGGGAACTTCCACAGTGAGCTGCCTGTGGCTTTTGAACAACCTGTGGCTTCTTTCTGCTGCGTGGACATGTTGCTGGTATTAATATAAGGCATATACATACCCCTGGCAGACATAACATGTTAAACTTTTAAGTCACCTAGTCTTCGAGGAAGCACTTATCAGATTATTTCAAGAAAGTAATTTCTTTCTTTTTCTATTTTTATGTATTTATTTATTTCCTGGAAGGAGGAGGCTGAAGGGATAAGAACTGGGGAAGGGTGTTGGAGTACTTTATAGTCTGGCAAACAGGTCCTGGAGATGCCAAAGATGAGCCCTGTTTATTCACAATACTGTCAGAGTATAATTTTTGGAAAAATTAAAACCATAACTCCCATACAAATACATAGATGCTTTTTTCAAAACGACGCTGCGCAGCTTGACTCCTAAGAAATCAAATGTGTTAATGAAAAAGAAAGAAATCGGGAGACGCTTCAGGTAGGGGTGAGGAAATGGGGTAGGAGAAAGGGAAGAAAAGAGGGGCCTCGTGGTGGTCAGGGAGAGGTGTTCTTGGAGGCGACAGCCTGCGAAGGTGTGGGCCACCCTAGGACTGGCCAGGGGTGCGTCGGGGGCCGCGGTGAAGCAGCAGCGCCGGGCGGCTGGAGGAGGGAACCAGGGAGTGAGGGGTGGGGGAAGGCACACCTCCAGATTCTTCATTTCCGACTCTGAGGACGGGTCGGATTCCACCTCGTCCTCGCCCTGGTCCTCCTCTCCGTCCGTGTCCAACTCCTGAAAGCGGTGAATGATCTGCTGCAGCAGGTAGGAGGAGGTTCTGTTCAAAGAGTTTTTCGTCCTCTGTCCATTGGGAAAAGAAGACCCGCAAGCCTGACGCTCTTTCTCTGAGCGCAACAGCATCGCTGGTGCTCCAGTTCGTGAACTGCTCAGGCCTCCTTGGAGAGAAGGAGCTCTTGCCCTCTGGGGAGGGCCCTCTGAGACCGACATCTTGTTTAGCGGGGTTGCTAGGAGACGGGCGCCGCAAGGCATCTTGGGGGCTGTAGTCTCCGCGCATGCTCGCCTGCTGCTCAGCGCTGCGGTGGGGGCTCGGTTTTCCTTTTAATTTTGTCGTCCTCTTCTGTTATTTTTCTCTCTTTAGTCTGTTCTTTTTGCTTGCTTCGATCATTTTCACCTCTTTTCTCCACTCCCCTTTTCTTTGTCTCCAGCAGTCTGCTTTCTCCCTAACTCTAGGCCCCTTTTAGGGGGTTTTCCTCCAGCACTGGGATCGCACGTGGTCCTCTCTTCCAGCCTCATTCACCGAGCCCCCTTTCTGAGTTGTGCTTTGGCAGTGTCTGATGTCTTTAAAACTATCTGTCAGAAAGCTAGAACACTGGAATTTAGCTCTATGCACACTAGGAGATGAGGGTGCACATAACGAAATAGAAGGCATGGTTCCTGTCCTTACGGTTTAATAAGGAGAAACTACCAAAGGACGCCTGAGAGCTGATTTGCAATTAATTTACATTCCCCCTCCCCCAAGTGATAAACCATGTCCTTGGGGACAAAAACTGGCAGTAGTCTAACAATCCACACCAAGAGAAAAAAAAAAAAAAACTGCTGTCAAATTGACAGTGTATCTGAAAGCCTCTGAAAAGCTATTAGCATCCCATAAATAATTGTATTAGTCAAGTGACCTGCATTGGTAATGACTTTAATCTTGTTGCATAGGTTCTCTTTGCGGTTTCATAAGATACTCTTGCAAAATTACAAAGTGTGATTTTATGCAAGTGTGAGTTTATGTGACCTAAATCCTGTACCCTTAAGCTCCACAATGTAGATAGACACTCTGTAGAAAAGCAAAATGAAAATTATAGTCATTATTATTGCTGTCGTGATGACAATAGAGATCCTTGCGGGGAAGTTGCCCTCATCCTACTGGCCTTACAGGGCCTTTTCTCCATGCTCCAATGACAGCAGTTGTGAATGCAAAATGATCCTGTCAATGGCTGTCAGGGGAGAAGGAGAAAAAATCCTTATGGACACCATCCATTGACTATTATCTCTCTCAGTGCTTCAGGGACTGTTAAAACTGACATAAAGCCTTCAGAATTACCTTCCTTCATTATCTTGCTAGTCATAAATGTAAAGGCCACAATGAGAGTATCTCTTTCTGCCTGGCTCATACTCCTTCTTGCTTATTTCTTATTCTAGTAGGTAGAGATTCCTCCAAGGAATTCCCCTCCCCCCCATAGGGCCTGGCTTCAGCCTACTGATACAAGGAAGAAGGGGGCAGAAAGTATCAAAATGCCATTGCAGTGTGTTTTTATTTTTTTCCAATAATTTAATCTGCCTTTCTAGTAAAGCAAGAATTGCCCATGTCAATCTATTGAGCAGAGTTAGTCAGAACCCATCAAAGAACAATTTTCAAAAAGTTAAAAGCAGGATTTTTGTACCAAAAAACATAGAATAAAATACATATGAAAGATTCCATTCAACTCATTAATTAATGAAGGAACCAGTAAAATGGTAATAGGGTATTCAGAGTCTGTGGAGGAAAGATATTCTGAAATAAGTTGCCAAGTTAGAGACAAACTGGTTAATGCCCTATAGGACAATAGAGCTATAACCTTTGGGATTATATAGTCTAAATATTTCGGCTCTTTTCATCTTCACACCTACCCTCTGCCCATCCCCATTTGTCACTGAGGCCTAGGGAAGTTAAATCACTGGCCTAAAGCCAAGTGATAGTCTTGAAATCCAAAGCTAGAATGACCACTCCGTAGTCTACCTTCAACTATCGTGTTTGCCTGTGAAAAATGGGAAGCAAGTTAAAGCTACACAATAAGAGGTTGCAGAAGAAAAAAACGTTATCTGTCAAGGTTCTTAAGTATAAATAAAAGCATCCACCCAGAGAAAAACCTTTTCCTATAGAATCATAGCATATCAAAATCAGAAAGAACTTTAAAGTCCATCTTACCCCAACTCTTCCTTTTATGAAAGAAATTGATGGCCCTCAGGGAATGATGACTTGCCCAAAATTGCCTGACTTGTTAAAACAGCAGAGCAGGTTGTGTTGGGTGCCTGTAGTCCCAGCTACTTGGGAGGCTGAGGCCAGAGAATCAGTTAAGCCCAAGAGTTTGAGGTTGCTGTGAGCTATGATGCCATGGCACTCTACCCAGGGTGACAGCTTGGGACTCTGTCTCAAAAAAAAAAAAAAATAGCAGAGCAGGAATTAGACTGCAGACCTCTTGTTGATCAATCCTTGCTCTTGCTTGTTCACCAAAATGTTCATTAGGCTGAAATTTTACTAAAAGAAGCCCTATTCTGGGATTCTGGGCATCAAAACAGAAGGCGTTGTCTCTATAAAACAAGTTATTTTACCAGGTAAGAAAGACAGAATTAGGCAGAGAGGGAGGGCACATAAAGCAAAAGAATATTGTGTCTAAACTCTTCTCATTAGTACACAAACATCAATGATCACTTCCATTTATTCATTGCTTACTGTAAACCAGGCCTGTGGTTTAAGTGCTGTATATAAATCTCAATTATTCCAACTGCTCTCTAACATAGGAATTCATATTCCCACTTTTCAAAAAAGAAGAATAAGCATCAAAGATGTTAAGTAAGGTGCCCAGTCACACAATTGGTGTCTAAACCAACACTACAACTCAGGTCTTCCCGGATCCCTAGTCCCTGAACTTAAACCATAAATACTCTACTTTCCCCCAAAGTATAAATTTGTTTCTTAGGAACTTACTGTGAGGCACAAAGAGCCTTGCCCTGGTGAGATACTGAAAATGGCAGAGTGAGAAAGAGAGAGAGTGTGTGTGTATATATGTGTTGGGGTAGCAGTGGGCTGGAGAAGTAGAGTAGGGTAGGCGAAGGCAGTGGAATGGGATTGTCCAGGAGGGCAGAGTCTTCTGTGATAGCCCTGGATCCTTACCACCTTGGATGAGAGGAAGGAGAAAATGGAATAGTGACACCATGACACTCAGGAGCACCTCTCTGGAGGGCGTCCCGGAGAGGCAACTATAAGGAGGGAATCAAAAGGGTAGAGAACGTTAGTTTAAAAGAGGGTATTAACTACCAGCTTCAGGTTCATGATAGCTTTGCCTCTGTCCTACTATTGACTCTTATCCCTGACTTTTCTGTGTGCAACTGTAGTGTTCTCCTAGTTTGAAGCCAGCACCTTACCTCCTGGAGAATGAAAAGGCAGGATAAGCCCCCTGTTGCCAATATTTAGAAAGAGTAGCTTCCCAGGAGGCATGGACCTTCAGCAAGACAAAGAATGAGTGTCTCCCTCTTTACATCCCTGTACCTCTCCTCTAATTCTTTGCCAAAAAAAAAAAAAAAAAAAAAAATAGTGCTTTTTAAGCATGTTTAGATGGCAGCACTTTGAGTTGATGGTCATTTTTTTTTACAGACACTATAATTTTTATAGAACACCACAAAATGGATAGACAAGATAAGTAGTAGATGGCACGACTGATATAATAACAACAATTATAGAATGCAACCACACTAATATTTATGAGTAATCATTATGCGCCAGGCAGCTTTCTAAGAACTTTACATATATTAATTCATTTAATACCTACAGGGACCCTATAAGGCAGAGATTAATATTATTATCCCCATATTATAGGTAAGGAACAATAGGCATAGAAAGGTCATGTAATTTCTCAACCCACTTTGTCAAATAGTGACAAAACTTTCTCAAATAGAGAGAGTCTGGTTTCCCAGCCCACATCCTTAATCAAAATACATACTTCAACTCACTGCTTTGGTAAAAGTTTACGGAGGATAACCTTAAATTTGAGATGATCTGATGAATTAACTTCTTATCCTTTTATGTTCTCTTATCCCTTTCGGGAAAGAAGAGATGATTCTTCATAGGAAAGGAAGCTTATTATCTAATAAAAGCTTAGTGAGTATATAGACATTAAATAAGTAATTACACCAATACCAATTTAGTTTTAATTGTTATAAGGGCTAAGGAGAGAAAATATAGGACCTGGGGTCTTGACCCAATATAATAGGGAGGGATCCTTTCAAATATCAGGCAAACACTTTGAACTTCATGATGACAATAAAGAAATCTGAGAAAAGACAGAACAACAAATGAGGGATTTGTTACCTTTGCTGAAATGAACTTTATTCAGATTAGGATTGTCATAATTGATTGGGCTAGCAGAACCTGATAAAATCTAGGCAGCAAATAATATCTGTTCTAGTAGATACCAGAGGCATTTAGGGGGCTGCCCTATTAATAGATCAGCCAACTCAAATACTGGTGTTGAGATCAAAGATATAAATTGCAGTCTAGAAAAAGATAATCTTAAAAGCTCAGAGACTAAAGCAAAAAGACCAGCCAATGAAGAATTGTTGCAAAGGAATTGCAAGCATCATGTTGTCAACAAAATCTGAACAGAGGACTAAGCAGGGATTACTGAGACTTTCTAGCTGAGATTATTTTAGTAGATGAAAAACTGGATTTTATCAGGGAATTCACAAAGACTTATGATCAAAATGATTAAAATGATGACCAGAAGGGACTATGTGAAACCGTTTGGATGAGGATATGAGGACTTGAGGATGTTATGCTGGGACATTCAGAAGGTCAAAGAAGACCAGGAGGAACTCAGGAAGCAATAATCACAGAAAGTGGTAGAAAGGAAAAAGAGCTTGAGAGACACAAGTTTTAATAACCAAATCATCACCGTGGTAGCAAATAACAAAAACAGAGTGAGGAGCAAACAGAAGACAAGTGAATGAGATGTGCAAGAAATCCAGCCACTTTCCACAAGGCCAAGGTGGGCAGATTCCTTGAGCTCAGGAGTTCGAAACCAGCTCAAGCATGAGTGAGACCTTGTCTCTAAAAAGTAGCTGGCGTCATGGCAGGTGCGTGTAGTCCCAGCTACTCAGGAGGCTGAAGCAAAAGAATCTCTTGAGTCTAAGAGTTTGAGGTTGCTGTGAGCTATGAGACCATGGCACTCACCCCCATGGTG